CCCTCCTGGCGCGGGCCCAGTCCGGCCCTTCCCTCCGTGCCGTCCCCCCCAGCCACCGCGCTCAGCTCGGAGAGTCCCTCCTTGCCTTCCCCCTACACTAAGCTGCAATTTCCCGCCTGGAAAAGGCCCAGCATTGGGACAACTGCAGCGAAGCCCTGGCCATCGCCTTCCTCCTGTCCCGCCAGGGCGAGCCCCAAAACACCCCAGGCTGCAGCCCGGCACCCCGAGCCAGGCTGGCATCGCCGCGCTCCCTCTGCATCCCTACATCCGGGATGCATCTGGGCAGCGCAGACGTGACGCCCCTGCAAAGCCCTTCCAGACCCGTCACTAACAGGAGACAAACATCGCGAGGCCCCCGGGGAAGCAGAGGGGCCCCAGCGAGGCTGGCCAGGGGAGCACCCTGCTCTGCTCATGGGTGCAGGAGGAAGCACCCACGAGCGTGCACCACGTGGGTGCATGGGTGCCAGCTGGTCCCACGTGTGTCGCAAGGGACATGGGAGAAGCCCGTGCGGAGCTGCTGAGCACGCAGGAACGGTGTCCTCCCCCGGGCTCGCGCCTGCCGGAGCTGACCTAGGAAGCCTGACATCCTGGGCAGGGCTGGCCGGCCAGGGAGCGCATACGCACTGTCCCTGCCCGGGGGGAGCGAAAACATCTGGCAGGGCAGCGAGGCTGAGCAATGCCGGAGCTGGGCCCAAACATCTGGATATCCCTGGAAACTGGGGAGGGAAGGGGGGGACTAACTCCTGGCGCTTCCCGGGATGCTGGTGGGGGAGGCTGGGCACAAGGGCTGGCAGGAGATGAGCCGTGGGCAGAGTGCAAGAGCGGAGAGGCTGGGGGGGGGGGGGGGGGGGAGGGAAGGGGGGGACTAACTCCTGGCGCTTCCCGGGATGCTGGTGGGGGAGGCTGGGCACAAGGGCTGGCAGGAGATGAGCCGTGGGCAGAGTGCAAGAGCGGAGAGGCTGGGGGGGCCTGGGAATGGCCCCCGCTGCCCGTGCCCGGTGTGCCTGGCTCTTCCTCTCCCCTCCCTTTCTCCTCTCCTCCACCCAGGCCGAATTCCTCGGCTATGACATCTCCGTCCATCCGCTCCCCCTAGCCCTCTATCTGCATCTTGTGCTCTCCTGACCTCCCCCAGGCTCCCCCCGCCG